TAAGGAAAAATGATGTGTCAGATCTTACACGTATTTGGAATACTGAAGCTCACATGTGAGGTCCACTGAAATCGATTATTCTGAAATTGCATGCAGACCAATGAAGCTTTACAGCAGGACTTCTGATGGCCACAACATTATATAGATAAATCACTAGGGATCTGGCTTTAAGTGATTTCCAATTCCCCTAAGATCTAGTCTTTTTTTTTTAGCCAGGGACAGCTACTGGGTATTATGTAGTTCTTATAGCGATAGATGAAACATCTCCATATTGACCATACCTTCAAACTGCTCACCAATAACACCAATATTTCAAATCTCTTTCCCAACCAGTGAATGCTTCATTTCTAGTTCTGTAGTCCTCAGGGCTTTTTAAGCACTTCTGGTGTTCAAGGAATTCCCTTCCCTCCCCCACCCCCGCCCCAGTTTCAGTCAGCTGGCAACTGCAGTGCACAGGCATAGTTGTGGGTAGTTGTGGGTACCATGGATGCCTCTTGTTCTGTTTCTCACGTGCTATCTCACCTACTTGCAGTGTTGAGGGGGACAAACTGGGTAGGCATGTACAGACTTTTCTCATCAACTGATCTTGGGTATCTGGTAATATTTTGGTAATGTTAATTCAGATCAAGATCTATTTTTTTTACCTTTCCCTATTTATATTATAATGGAGTCACATGTTCAGCTGCTGAAAATCAGCCTGCACATGAAGTAACTTTGGACAGTCATAATGTATGTGTTTCTTCAAAATAGCATGCTGGGAATTAACCTCATTCTTGGTCTTTCCTGCATATAACCCAAGAGGAAGGCAGTGATGTGACATTCTGTGAACTGGTTATTAACATTGCATGCTGTACTCCATTCCCAATTTTGAGCCAGTATTTATTTGGTTTCTAATTCTGAGATGAGATTCACTTACATTTTCTTGTTTGGCATGTAGTTGGTTTTGACACAGTAATTAAGAGGCAGCACACTCCAAAGCACCCGGCTAATTACTGAATCCTCTCAAGCAAGGGAAACAGTAAATTATCTGAGCAGTGGAAAGGGAAATAGGTCAGTTGAAAAATATGTTTTTATGAGTTGATACTGCATTTAACAATACAGATGCTGGCAAGAATGAAAGGAATCCCCATTCAGTTTTGAAAAAAGGTATATTTTTCACAGAGAACATGTCTGTTCTGGGAACCCTTTATTTAATATACACTGGTTTCCTATTTTAAGAAAACACTATGCCATTAACACTATGCCAGCCAGACTTACATTTTTTAAGCAAAACCTCTTTGTCCTAAAGTATTTAATGGCCCAAAGAGGAGGAAATTCACTGTAACATTTCAGTTTTCCCATTATAAGGGGAAAATTAGGGAAGGTCTAAAAATATGCCTGAAAACACCCTCCTTCATGTCGTTGTCATATACCATAAGCCATGTGACAACAAAGACATTTCTTTCTGAGCCTAGCATTGTTTTTAATCCGCTAAATCTGCAGCTGAGAGTGTCTTCATTTAGAACTGCTGGCTCAAATAAAAATTTTGTTTACCTAATTTGATGACCTACTCTGCACTACAGTGTCTCCAGTTCATCCTGCTTATTTTACCTGAATACAAATGACAGTTGTCCTGAATTGCATATTCATCTGGGGGGAAAATATCATCAGGCCTTGTGCTGTGGGGCTGTTTTTCTGTTAGGCACTGTTCAGCTCCATGCTCTATTTGATCATCAATCCTAGAGGAATATTGAAGGTATATTCATATATTTTTTGGTCTGTGGCTGTGAATGGACAGGTGAAGTAGATGATACATGTAAATAAGATAAAGAAAATGCATCCTGTGGTGGATTAATGCCAAGGAGTATGTTATGGAGGTTAAAGATGGGGGCCTTATCATTATCACCCAGCAGGACTCAAAGTCAGTCTTGGTATTCAGATTACTCCCCCAGCAGTGAATTCAGACATGTGAGTGAATCACAAGGTACTTGTTTATTGTCAACTCAGAAAAAATAAAGCGAGACTGGTTTATGTGTAGACTGAGGCCAATGTGGAGACATTCCTAGACAGGGTGGAGCCCACAAGGCAAGCGGTGCTGTCACTGGGGAGAGAGCAGGTCCCAGTTTGTACTGAAGCTGGAGACAGGGCTTTGTGATATGATCTGTTCTCTGGTGAAATTTGCTTTGGAGGTTTTTGCCCCTTATCTCTCTACCTCACAGTCCTGGCCACTCACTCCTGCCTGCATTACAGCTTCCTGCCTGTCCTCAATTGTGCTGCTACAAATGAGTGTGGGGCCAGGCTATTGAGTAGGTCTCTAAAGTAGTCTAGGCTAAAAATAGCCTTCCGAAATAATTTTGCATTTTTGAGATTTTAAACAAAACCATTTCAGGTGCCTTATTTTACAGACAACCCCTAGATAAGAACAACTGAGACGGTAACAAACTGACTTACTGAAAGGTAACTTAGCTTCTCAAATCTAAAACAATTGTGTCATGGAAATATACACGAAGAAATGATGCCACCTTGCTGGTGAAGGGAGAGCACAGGGTCTTGACTTTCCTCCAATATCAAAATTGCAATGAACACAAACATTCACTAAATTTTAATGAATCACACTCCCCTGATGGGTCAAGGTCAGACAAGCTCAATGCATTGAAGTCAATGGAAGCTTTGTCTCTCTATTCTTGTAAGCCAAGATTAGCCTAGAGAAATGAGGCTCATGAGTGACCTGATCACTCTCTACAACTCCCTTAAGGGACAGTGTAGCCAGGCAGGTCAGTCTCTTCTCACAGGCAACCAGTGCCCGACAAGAGGAAACAGCCTCAAGCTGTGCCAGGGGAGGTTCAGGCTGGACACCAGGAGGAAATTCTTCACTGAATGGGTTGTCAGGCATTGGAATGGGCTGCTCAGGGAGGTGGTGGAGTCACTTGGAGGTGTTCAGGGAACAGCTGGACATAGCACTCAGTGCCATGGTCTTGTTGACAAAGTGATGACCAAAGGCTGGACTCTATTATCTCAGAGGTCTTTTCCAACCTAAATGATTCCATGGTTCTGTAAGATTTTTCTTCCTATCTTTTCTTCAGAGAATGACTTGGAGTTTTAATATAGACTAGTATTTGAACAAAGATTATATTTTTCCATATATCAACATAGAATCTGGATCATGTGACTATTGAGAGCCTGGGAAAGGATGCCAAGATTTCCATCTAGATAAGCCCTCTGTCCTGAGATGGGCTCACTCATACCTACAGTCTGCCTGCCTAAACTTTTTTTGACAAAACTTTATTTTAAAATCCACGCATCTCCTTAGGTAATCTATTCCAGTGTTTAGCTGAGGAATTTCCTCACCATCTAGTCTGTGTTTGACACAAAATCAATGTTTCATAGCCACACATCAGTCAGATGAATATAATTCCCAATGGAAACAGCAGTGCCAGCAACACAGAAACTTGGTATGTCCCGAATGATGTTTGTTCCTTTTTCTTTAGCCAAATGAACTCCATGATTTAGTGAATATAGTTAACAAATACAACTGGGGTTGCTGACATTTCTGTGCATTCATTAACTCCAAAAGAATTGAAGAATCAGTAAGTTTGTCTTAAAGTTGTAATTCCTTGCCAGGGAATACTGGTAGTTTACTAGTGTGATAAGTTTACTAGTGGCATAAACACATGGATAGACCTTTTTTTTCCCTTGCAACTATAATATGATATAATCTAATATTATTGTAGGCCCTGAGGGAAGAGATGACAGTACTACTGGACAGTACTTTTGACTTGTACCTTTATAACTGACCCCTACCAATATTGTAAAGAATGTATTTGGGAAACCAAATTGGAAACAATATATAAGAAACAAGCTATCAAACTGCCTTCATTGAAACACCATTTGAAAGTGCTTTACAGCATCATAAAGAGTCAAAAGACAGATTCTTGTAGCAATGAAAAAAATACCAATGATGAGATAAACTGCTGTTTCAGAAGAGACTGGAGAGGAAATGATGGTGCTGTGGAGTTCCTATATTGTCAGACAGTACAGCAAAGTCAAGCCCAAGGGAAGATGAATAGAAAAAATTGGACTGCTAGAACAAGCATGGCACAGTAAAAGCCACCATTAAGATGTCCTGGTTTGTTGGCATTTTGCCTTGTCTTGCAATGTCCAAAAACTATTACATTTTTTTAAAAGTTTTATTTTCTTCTTTCTCAGAATCCATGAGTGTTTTAAAAAATTAAGGACAATTAAAAGAGTAAAACTAAATTACTTAGATTTCTGTAACATTTCTTTTAAAATGCAATAACGCTTTGAGGACCTCTTTCAAGAGATTATCTGTCAGTATTTGGGACATTTCTCTTTCTTTTTTTCTTAGGTGAAGTTTGGTTATATGTGACACAATTAGCAACTGTGGTTACTATGGCTGTTACAGTGGGTTAAGAGAAAAAGGTTTTTAGGGAGTATGTAATCTCCTAGCCATTCTAGGCATCTTGGGAAAAGGCAGTCTTTGTCTCTACATTGATTATAAACAGAACCTGAAGTGACTAATTTGGATATAGATTTCTACATCAGATGAATCATACCCTGAAAGTTGCATTAAGTATTCCAGGTTACTGAGAGCACTGATTTTGACATTAGTTGTGTAATAACTTGTACAAGTTATTTCCGTCTTTTGCAATACATTTGGATTCAGTGAAGTGTCAGATGAAGAAGCAAACACTTGCAGACTTTTTGGCTCTGCCTCAGGTAGGAACTGAAGAGCGCACCTTCCCCACAGGCAAACATGTTGCAACATAAAATGCAAATAGCTTGAAAGAAAAGCAGAAGCAGTAAAAGAATGGCTCTTTATGTGCCTTAGAGGAAAAGGAGAAACTGGCAAGACATTTGTGAGACAATTCAGGGAAGAGTCATTTGACACAGCCATGATGACAATCACTGGTTTTTAAAGTCTTGACTTGTCACGAAACATACTTTGCTACAGATGTAACTAAGCAAACAACAAAAGAGCTTAGTACCGACAAGGAAAGAAATTCACATTTAATACATGTTACTTCACATTTTTCTTACAGGACAGTTCATTCAAAGTCAGCTCTTGGAGCATCGTAAATATTTTACACCCCCCAAAAAAAATTAATCATAATAATGTTTGTATATACAAAAGAGGACAACTGGCAAAATTTAATCACATTTGCTGCTCAACAGCAGTTATCTCAAAGACTAACCTCTGGTGAGTATTAAGATGGTGACTCAGCTGGTTCATATAAGAATATAGTGTGGCTACTACGGAATAAAATTAAATTCAGCAGTTCCATAACTTTACAACTACTTATGCTGCTGTCCTTATCTCTTGACTATGCTCTTGGTCTGAAATTAGCATGGGGGGAGATTTGTCCTGTCAGGATTTCGTGATAGGTTTTGCAGTCATGGGAAATCTGTATGAGAGAGAAAATGTCCCGCTTAGCAGCAGGAGGATGACAGCCACAATCCCAACAGGAATGGCAGCACCAGCTTCCTGTGCTGCTGGACTGGAGGGCATGTAGTAAGAAGGAGGAAAATCTATGCTCTGGTTGTGGGTCACAGAATAGAAATTCCAGCTCACAGGAATCAGGACACACAGACCAGCAAATATGTAGAAGAAACCACCCACCAGGAAGAACGGGGCAATGAGAGTTTTGTCAGTGATTCCCATATACACATTTCTCAGAGCAAATATTGTAGCAACCAGTCCCAGCAAGCCCGTGAACATGGCGATCAACAGGAGACCCTGAGCAGCATAAATTTCATGGGGGATGAAGGAGTCATAGCCACTGAATTTATGGCAAAACTGTTCTCTATAGCCAGGTGAGACGTGAAGGTAACTGATGAAGCAGACTTTCCAAATGCCCACCCAGGCAACGCCAGAGGAGATGATAGTGGTGTTGTCCACATGCCACACTCTCCATTCCACAATTCCCATTGAAACAGTGCACAGAATCCAGCCTATCGTGCCCAGAACAAAGGCAGCAAGCTGGAGGTGTGAGGTGCTGACCAGGAAGTTCATCCTTTGGAGCTCTCCTGCTCTGTCACAGACACAGTTGCCATGTGAAGAGTGAGAGGCACTGCAAAGAAGCAAAAAATAAAATTACAAAGGCAATTATTATGTGGGCGAATAGGTGAACCGGTCAGTGAAAAAGAAAATGTGTGTGTAGAGGGAAGATGGCAGTCATCTTTCCCCAACTTTAATGAACTGTTGAAATTTAATACCCATGGACAAATAACATACAGATTTTAATTCTGTATATGTCATGGTATCATACAGAGGAGAAAGAGTGTCTAATTAGCTCCTCTAAAGATCTCCTTGTTACACTCACAAAAGGAAAATGCATGGGTTTTTTCCAAGTTGTCTTCTTTGTTAATTAACCATTGTGTTCAAAGATTCTTATACATGTTACACATAATCAGGAGCCCTAGAGTTACTGGCTAGCAGAAACAAAATCTGAGAAAATCTTCAGATTTCAGATTTTGGAAGAGATCCTACAAAGCAGAATCTGTGCTCCTTTCTCCCAGCAGCTGTGGCTTTGATGCTGGAGCCCAATCTGTACTGACTTCAGCTTTTGTGCTGCCTTTACTGAGCGCTGCTGGGACCAGTGTCAGATAGAAAATGCTGTAGTTCAGAGGCATGAGTAAATCCAGGCCACAAGATCTAACAACAACCACTGAACTTTGACCATTTTCAGATTAATTAACCATAAATGCATTAGCGGAAACATTTGAATTAATCAGAAATGTAACACTGTGCGGGGGCTGGAGCCTGGCTATGCTGTCATTGCTTTCCCGCCCTCAAACTTTACTCAAGATTTTCTTGGTGCTTTACCTTTGCAAATCCCACTTGTTTATAAATTGCCCAGTTTCTCCAGTTTGAATCGTCCTAAAATTGTGCTGGAAAATATTTTAGTCATTTAGATTTAAGATTTGTTTGCTGACTGTACATTCTGAGTGCAAAGTAGGGTTTTACTGTATTTAAAAAAAAAAAAAAAAGAAATCAACACCTAATTTCCTATATCTTTTGTACCATTTTTGAATACTATAGGAATGACCTGTGAAGATGTGGCCTCAAATTTATGTAAATCTGACAGGTTCTAGGGATCTGTATATCTCATAAGTTTTCTAAAATACTCTTTCTACTGCTCCTATTTCATTCAAGACTGGAGAAATACTCTACCAAGTTGACTCTAATAAGATATGTCTGCCAGCATGTTTTGTGTACTAAACATTAAAGACTAAAGCAACAATTTTTCTATTTACTGATCTTAAGGTAACCAGATTCAGTTGGCAATACAAACTAGTTGCAAAAGTCCACCTGAGGAAATCTTAAAAAAGAAATATGTTCATAACAATAAGCAGACACTATCCATCTCATACTAGTGACCACTACATATTTACTTCAGTCCTGAAGGTGATGCCAGCCATGAGAGGATGGGACAGAGTGACTTTTGATGCCAAACAAACACAGCAACATCTGCAATTTTATAATTTTGGCCTCCAAGTTCATCTATGTAACTCCAATAGAACTGATTTCCTGTGGCATATATTAATATCCATTATTGCAAGTGTACATTTAATCCTCTCCAGCATGGAGAAAATTGCTCCGAAAGAGTCTCTTGTATTTTTACCTACTTAAACTGAAACCAATTTATAAACATTTTCTCAATTTGCTGTGCTATTTACAAAGTGATTATGAACACTCCTTTCTAAATAACTGCTTTTACCAGGCATGGAGCACAATAGCCCCTCTTTCTGTCCCAGTTTCACCTCAAATCGTTTCTGCTCCTGCCCAGTGATGGGAAGGTGCTGGACAGGAAAGAGCGTGAGCAGAGGAGTCTCGTGCTGACTCCATTCGGCTTCTTTTGGAATCAGTGGAGCACACAGAAGCCAAACCTGAACCACGTGAAGATACCATTTTATGTAGAGCCCATATGCCTGTAACACTTCTTGTGTACATCATAAACATTCATTTAAACAACTTGCTGATATCAAGATTGTGAAAGATAGGTCAGCAGGTGAATCCTTATCATCAACAGCTTTTCAGAGTATATTATCAGCATGTAACTTCATGGATTGAATGTACCCACCCAATTGTCTGCTCACAGAATTAAATGAGAGTAAATGTGATTCTGTTCCCACTATCAAGCCTGCATGTGCTGAGATACTTAAAATCCTGTCCAGAATTGAATTATAAAATTAAAAATTAGGGAAAGATCTTTCTACGGTCCCCAAAAAAACACAGAATAAGTAAACACACAGGATGAAAGAATTTAAGGCTTATACAAAAGTTCTCAGAACACTGGAGAATAATCAGCTAACAAAGATGTGCTTTAGATGAGTTATCAGGTGTCTAGACACACAAAAAATTGCTTGTGCAGGAAATGATTCATTTTGGCTCATTTCTCCACACCCTGCCCACTGGAGCATATTTGGTCTAGCCTGGTATCACTGAATTAGAGAAAAATGAAGGTTCGGAAGAAGTACATTTGAAATCAATGATGAGATGAAATTAAAGTTCTCATACTTGTCTATTTTGGAAAATCAAGCAGAAGCCTATACTTAATGACCTCCTGGTACTGAGATTCAGCATGAAAATAAGGATCAAAATATAAAGGTAAAATAATTACAGGATTTTTTTTCACATATGAAAATATGCCAAAATTAAAAGCAAACAAAAAAATTTTTTCCTGATTTCAGTATGTATCACTATTAATATTAATAAACATACTATAGGTTTTGGTGACATAATGAAAAGACCATAGGTATATATCACTTGCCAGAAGCATTGATTTTAAAGGAAGCCTTTGGGCAAAGAGGATCAGGGAAACTCCTTTTCTCCAAGTGTAGAAGGATACACTGATTTTTCAGAACTACAGTGGCAAGTATTTCCAAAAAAATCCCAAACAAGACATTTCTCTTGCAGATGGCAAATCAAGCAGGGAGCGAACAGCAGACGCAAAATCAATCTGGGAGCGAGCTGCAGAGGGCGTCGTCCTCCAGGAATTCAGCCATTCCAGCGACTCCCTTGCTGTGAGACCTTAAGACTGTAGAAAGGAGTGAGGGAGGCAGGGAGGGAGGGAGGTCATAGCAGGCTGGGGTTTACAGCAGCGCCTGGGTCAGGGCTTTGTCACCTTTTGCCCCAGCTGGACCTTGGGGGTGACCCTGCACAAGTCTCTGTCCACAGGAGGTGGGTGGTGGAGGTGCTGGACTTGGTCAAAACACCAACAGTGCCGTTCCTGTCGATTTCAAGGACAGAGGCATCCCTTTTAGAAAGGAAGAATTTGATCTGTCACCAACTAGTCGTCCACAGAAAAAAAAAAAAAAACAAAACCGAAAACCCAAACAAACAAACAACCAGAAAAAACCAAATTATTTTTTATTATTATTAAATTAAAATTTCTGGTCCTTGTGCAAATACCCTTTTCAGCCTTCTAGGAGTAAAATGTGAAAGCTCAGTCCCTGCATCTTTGAGCTATATTGGATAAAATACAGTTCAAAGCCCAGATCATATAGCAAGCTGTGCTAACACAGGCAGCACTGGCCAGTTTCATGCTTTAGTAATTACATAAATATTTTGAATTAATTTAATTCGTGTAGTAAGGTTACCTATATGGTCTGAATAATACAATGATGTAACACAATCACTAGATGAAATGTCCTAAGGCAAATAAACTCATATTCAGTCATCTACAGGAGATCTTCTGAGTAATTAGGTGGTGTCACTGGCATGCGGTTCTTGATTCAGGAGCTCGCCCAGAACTGCAGATTTCAGCATTCCAGCTTTGCAGACCAGCTACTCATGGCATGGAGTCAGCCTTCAAAGGCAATCTGGCCAGCAGGAACAAGCTAGGTCTGTGTGGTGTCTATGCCAGTGGATAAAAAGCAAGACTGAAAACCCTTTTCACTAAAAGGAGTGAGAAGTGGTTTTGAGAGGTGAGCACAATGCCAACTTTCAGCATCCCATGATTTCACCCACATTTTCATTTAAAATCTACTCGGTTCAATCCAACAAGCACCCCAGCAGCTTCTGAGGATGGTCTTTGGAAAGTCTAGAAACAGTAGCTAAAAAACAGAGAGTTGCTTCTACAGGCTTCAGACCTGGTAGCAATTTTCTCTCTAAATATATCTTTCACTTCCTTTGTTTGGAAGGGCTTTCCGTCACAGAAATGTTTTTAACTAAATACCCTACTAAAGTAAAAGCAAGACAGAATCTGTCTACAGAATCACAGAATCATAGGATGGTTTGAGCTGGAAGGAACCTTAAAGATACCTTGTTCCAATCCCCTGGGCATGGGCAGTGGCACCTCTCACCAGACTAGGTAGCTCAGAGCTCCATCCAACCTGGCCCTGAATGCTTCAAGGGATTGGGAGCCTGCAGCTTCTCTGGACAACCTGTTCCGGTGCCTCACCACCCTCACAGTAAAGAATTTATTCTAATATCTAATCTAAGGCTACTGTCTTTCTGTGGAAGCTATTCTCCCTTGTCCTATCACAGTTTCTGACAAAGAATCCTCTCCAGCTTTCCTGTGGGCCCCCTTCAGATTCTGGAAGGCTGCTATGAGGTCCTCACACAACTTTCTCTTCTTCATGCTGGACAGCCCCAACTTTCTCATCCTCTCTTCTTAGGGGGGTGCATATTAAATGCAAATTTGCACAGAGAAGACAGAATTTATTAGTGAAAGATGATACATATCAGTGTATTCATCCAAAAACAGAAACTTGAAGGATCCTTTTGTATTTATTGCTGATTTTACTTAAATTAAGCATTGCACAGTAAGTAGCTCTTTTTCTTTATGAAAAGTATGTTGAGCCATAGCACATGGACTTGAGGGACAGAATGAGACATGAGTTTCCCACTCTTAGCTTCAAGAAACGGAGAGGAAGGCTGAGAGCCATGCTGACTTTCCTACAGCTGCAAGCTTGCTTCTAGGAGAAAAAAATAAAACCAAACTGCTCTCACAACTGCCAATTGGTTTCATAGAGGGGGGTTTGGGTCATCTGTGCATGAGGCTTACCTTTAAAAAGACTAAAATGAAATGTTGCAGTTGAATAGATCAGTTCTTTGTGGCCACAATCCCATCTCCTGATATTCTCAGCAGCAAGAAAAAACAGAAATGGAACTATCTTGAAATTTTGTCAACACTTCTTTTACTTCTAGTAATTGTTAGTAGAAAAGGCTGGGGCTATGATATGGATTCTGAGGGTGGAGAAACCTCATTTACACCAAATGCATTTCACTCCTGCAATTAATACTGTGTCTTCCAGAAAGTTGCTTTAATTACATTCAGTAGGTCTATATGCATCCATTGGGTTTCAGATCTGGTTTCTAAAACTCACCTTGCCTTAAGTTTCTAAAACAGAGACTTTAAAAACCCTGCAGTTAAATGCAAGAGAGAAAAAAGCTATCAAATTCTCTTAATTCATGCATTTAAATGCAATTGGACTTTTCAGGTTACTGGGTCTCAGGCTCCCTCCTCTGGGGATGAAGACCAGTGCCAGGGACAGATGACCAGATTGTAAGGTGGCATAAGGAAGTGTCCCCAGCCACACTGTCACCTGCAAGACTTGTCTTTAAATTTATCATTTCATATGATGGGTTAAGAGCAAGAGGGCTGCAGCTTTCAGAGCCATTGAAGGGAGTTTGCCATTTAGGAGAGGTCCTTTGGTTTGTGTGTGCTGGTAATATATTCCCAAGCAGCAGCATCCCCTCTGCAGTATCTCTTACCCCTCTGGGACAGGCACAGCTGGCTAGGCCAGTCATCAACACCTGGAACATAAGATCGCAAACACTGAAACTGCTGGGAAATGTGAGATGGAACTGGGCCTTTTCATGGAAATTTGTGGAAGTCTTACACAAATTTCATGATCCTTGACATGATATTAATGCCTTAGGATCCTTGATGTGTCTAGAAGAGGGCTTCAGAAATGTTTTTTATCCTTCTGCCATCACTGTTTCAGCACAGTTCTTGCTGAAGGACAGCTTTATGTCTAAGACCATATACTTGCTGTGGTCCAGGCCACAAGAGTTGCCACCACTGACTGATAAATCAGTCCATTCCTACCTTCTTCAATAGACATTTCAAACAGTCAGTGTGGCAGTTCTTTAGTTCTCATTTTCCTAGAAATAAAATTAGCTGCATTTATGACCCATTCCTTGAACACATCTCCCTGGCACTCAGGAAGTCTTGAACTTTAGTATCTCATGTTTAGATTTTAGCTGTCACTAACACACTTATTTTCAGTTAAAAAGACAAACTAGTGGGGTCTAGAGTCTTAAAAGTCATTGTAGGGCATGTCCAGATTTGAAGGGTGTGTCCAGATTTAACATGCCTTATGTCCTCTGTCCCTCCAAATGTCAATGTCCAATGTTATAAACTCTACTGCTACCATTTATTCACTGTGTTTCAAAACAAGCAAACCAAAGTAATCTTCATTTCTCTTCGATCAAGTAAGAATATATTGAAACTTAGCTGTGTAAAAGTCCTTTGCTTATTTTGGAAAAATCTTTTTTTTTGCTTTGATAATAGGATGAAATGAAAGCATAATTTCTGTATATTCTCACTGTTTTTTCACACCCTAATTTACTTTTCTGTGTCTGAGCCCATCTTGAGCTCTTGTTACATAAAGAAACATTGCAGGCTGTAGGCAGTGAGATGGCAGTGGTATTGACCCAGGATCCAGATGGCCCCATATTATCAGAGTTGCTACAGATTGTTTTCCCTCTCGGATTGTTTTGCCCTTGCTTTTTGGGAGCTCCATTTAGAGCCAAAGTGGAACAGTTTAGAGACATTCCAGGAATGACAGCCCCTGAAAAACTAAGGCAGATAACCTGGCTGTGTTGAGATGGGATCCTTTCAGGAAACTTCAGAAAGCAGAGGGAGCCCTAAACTTTCCTACTCTGGGTGTCTGTCACAGAGAAAAGAGCACTAAGGGTTCCGTAGTGTAAATAAGGCAACCACATCTATGTCCCAGAGGACTCACACACGACTGGGAAGATGAGGGCACTGAACACACACTGGGGGCATGGGAAGATGTCACCCAAGAGGAGACACCTCCCAGCCAAAAGAACAGGAACTAATGTTTCCTGGAGCTGCAGGAGAAATTAAGAACTCCTGAAGCAACTTGAATGTCAGCCTGGAAGTGCTGCACAGGCACCTGGCAGGAAGTCAGGAGCATTCCCTGAGCCAAGGGCATGTAAGGAAGTGCCTGCTAAAGGGGCAGTGGGAGAGCACAAAACCTGCACACAGCAACCTGAACACAGCAACCTGCACACACACAGCAACCTGCACACACAGCAACCTGCACACAGCAACCTGCACACACACAGCGACCTGCACACAGCAACCTGCACACACAGCAACCTGCTGGCAAGATTTCCTTCATAGATGGGGGAAGTGGGTGCAAGGAGAGCCTCACAAAAGGACAGGAGACTATACTTGCTTCCTAGTAAATGATAGCACAGCTAAAATAAAAGCTAAAAAATGTTCCAACAGAAGAGCAATGTAAGTCTCCCTGTCTGAACCCACTTGCCTGCCAAAAAACTGGGAATTCTACTGCAGCTTGTAACTAGCTTAAAGAGAACATTCATTATAAACTCTTCTTATATAAAATAAGCATAAAATTATTTTTCCCAGCCCACATCAGCAGAAATTCTCTTATTTCATGTTTTAAGCATATATTTTTGCATTAGATGATGCCAGGCATCACATGCATTTCTAAATTAACATTCAATTCCTGCTTCTGAAAACTATTATAGTCTAGATGCAGGTTTATTGGACTGTACTGAACATGTTTTACTAACGAAGTGCTTTGTTTAATTCAAGTCTTGCAGCAGAAAGGGAACTTAAAAAAACCAAGTACAGTAATTACAAAGGTATCGTCTTAGCAATATCTCTATGATTTAACGCTTGAAAACTTAACTCTTCAATTCCCAGTTGGGAAAGTATTATTTATAAAAAACAAATAAATACTTAAATCTCTACCCATCTGTTCTCCATCAGCACTTCATAAAATAAGTAATATTAAAAAAGGGGGGACTTACTTCTCTGAGTCTGAGAGTTGCCTAAGGCTTTGGAGCAGTGTCAGCTGGATGAAGCAAGTTCCAAAAGAGAGGTAGAAGAAAATGCCCGTGCAAATTCTCCAACTTGTTACGCTACCAAAATAGGTACCTCACAGTTCCTTGTCACTCTCCCACTAAGTCAACAAAGATGTAGGAAGCCAGTTAATCATTAACATATTATAAAAATATGAAAGGTTTGCCATATGCCATTTATTCTAATTGACTTAAAACACCAAAGCATATAGATAACTCCCATGGAAATTAGTTTTCTATAAGATACCCTTTCAGAAAATCTACCTTTTTGATCACGTGATTTTTCAGCTTGAGACCACCATGATGCCCCAGTCTGACAGCCCGAAGGACACAGAATTCTCATCTGAAAGAACAAAGTGATTTCCTAATCCTTTCTTCATTAGATTTTTCTTCTTGTATTTATGCAGCATAAATTAGTGCAGCTCTGCAAAATATAGGGGAGAAAGAGGAGTTTTTCTAAGGAGTAAATTCAAGCTGAACTGCTCTCTTGGCAGCACCTACACTTTAGTACAAATAGTATTATGCTTGCTATCTCAGATGCTTAAAAAAGCACACACATTTTTTAACATTATGTTATGTTTGCCTTGCTTCATGGCTTTCCCATGAATGTAAACAATGGCTCTTACAAATTGGAAGAATGTTCTTAACTCTGTTTTGGTTTCTTCTCTTTGAGCCCTATTCTAAACCCTGATAAACTCTGAATGATGCACTGGCTCAGCTGGTTACAGAACAGTGCTAACAACATCAACATTGTGTATTCGATCTCTGTATGGGCCATTCCCTCAAGAGTTGGACTCAATGATCCTTGTGGGTCTCTTCTAACTCAGAATATTCTGTGATATTTCAAAGCTTGGTGTCAAATGACAAGTAGGTTTATTTCATAGGAATACCCTGAAATGGGGAGGCCTCATTGAAAAATTCTTCTCATTGTAACATGCACAATGGCTCGTCATTGCCATAACTAAAGAAGGTTGAAAAATGTCATTAATTCATATCCTCCTGTTTTCTGCATCACCTTTAATCCTCTCCTGCTGTATCTTCAGCTGATGCCAGTTCACTTGTTCTTTGTGCAGGTAATGCAGCCTGGCCATCTCAAGAGTCTTGTCCTCTCCTGCAGCTCACTAGCCTGGGATGTCCTCTCTGGCTGCTCCCAGCTGGATGGGGTTGGTCTGGTGCACAGGCAAACTCAGCTGCTCAGGCTCTGCTGTTGTGTGACAAGCCAAACACACACACCCCCTCGTGGGCTGCTGTCATCTGCCAGACTCCAGGATGGCCTTCTGACATCTGACAGGGCTGCTGATCCACAAGGACAGCATCCTTGGGCAGTAGGCAGCTGGCAGATAGATTCATTTTCTTGCATTTTATAACTGTTTGGGACAAAATTTGCAGGCTGATTTTATTGCTGATTTTACATAGGAAGTTGCTATTTGTCTCTGCGATAGGAGGCGCATCCCCTACACCACTGCTAGAAGAACAATTCCTTTGTCACCAAATTCTGTGTCTCTGACCTTTTTCTTCTCAGTCACAAAAAAAATCAAATAAAAACCAACATGACAAAACCAACGAAACCAAACCCACTGTGATGTTTAAGAGATTAAACTGTACTGAAAAATAATGAATTCAATATATTTGTCAACCACAATCACTACAGTGAAGTTTAATTCAACTGGAAATCTACAGTGCTCAATTTGTGATAACAACCAGCAGCACAATCATCACTACATTAGTGAGAAATACAATACACACAAAACTGAATGGAAGAAGACAGGAAGCAAATGACAGCATTAAGTGATTTTTCCTCTCAGTGTATGATTATGAGTTCTATAAACATATTCCTTTCTAGTGTAATAGTGACAAATTCTTAAGAAGCAGATAAAATTAACTAAGTTTCTGACTACTTTATTTAAAAGAACACATTTTAAACCTAAGACTTTATTGTTCCTTGAATGCCAATGGTTAATACTTTTTGAGGCAGAAAAACATTTGCTTTTTTCCTCCATGGCCTGGACCCAAAGCACATTGAAATCAGTGGAAATAGTTCTGCTGACTTCAAAGACCTTTAGATCAAGCCCGGTCCCTTCTGTGGTTTACAAGTTCATTGTTAAATACCACAGAACAGGAAATATTTGTTTCAAGTTATTTTTCCTTTTATTTGCTACACATTGAAAAACCAGCCTGAAAGCAAGACACTGTGCAAGATACACTGCCCAGTGAATGGTACCACATAGGCAGCTAAGAGAGCCCCTAAACAGCTCGGAAGCTCAGGTACAAGTACTTTCTCACTTTTTATTTCTGAGACAAAGGTGACTTCTTCCAGGAAGCACAGCAGCCTCCCTGCAGCAGCTTGCCACTCTGTGATCAGTGAACGGGGGATTAGAGTTGTTGCATCCTCACTCTCGGTCGCTCCCTGCTTGTGCTCAGCACATCATCAGATCAGCAACTCTCCAAATCCAACACTGAACCTAAACGTGGGCCTCTAAAACCACCACTTGAGTCTAAGAAAAGTATTTCCATAAACACCTTTCCTAACTGTTTACCTTTATGGCCAAATCAAGTTATCCTTTGAAACTTGTGAAATTCAGCGATGAGACAAACACCTCTACCAAACTCAACGCATCTCTCATCATTAAATACTTCACAGCCCAGCAGCACTGTCCTTCTGCTGGATCACAAATACATTGTCAACAGCTGCCTCTGAAGAGGCAACCCACTGCCAGCCTCAAGAGACTCCACAGGGAAGCACTGCACATTATCAGATACTCGGCTCAATCCCAAACTACACTGACCCTGTTTATAGCTGCCAGCAGGTGCTACTTGTTTTTATGGTTAATCCCATTGGCTGGGAAGTTTTCTGGCTCCAGAAAACTCGCTAATAGGTTTGTTGTGATTATGTCACTATATTTTGTGTGGCCTTGATTTCTCTTCTGTTTTGTGAAGTTCCAGATAAACATCCACAATGCTCAGTCCCTACTATCCTCTGTTTTAGTTCCACTTGTCCAGTGCAGGTGGGATTTAAACACATGCTTTAGTTTTTAGTAAAATTACAGTCGACTCTGACATTACATGAGAGGGATTATATGTTATCCCTCCCAGCAAGAGAAACAGTGTTCAATATCCAGTTTAGGTATTACAAGCTAGGGAAACTGTACCTCACTCATGTCTGAATTTGCTTCCTTTCAGTCTTGCACAGCACTAATATCCCTAACAAGGGTCACACTTTTTAGTGCTTCTTATATCCAAAATATGTCAGAGACCTTTTGTCCAGTATCTACACCACTAGTAGCGTCCTCAGAGCCCCTGCTGACACACTAACATCCCTTTATTTTTGTCCTTAACTTTTCCTAGATTCCCTTATAACTGAGCTAGAAGACTCACAGAAACTTCCTACAAAGAATCTGACCCTTTTTTAAAAACCAGGGGAAAGTGAGAACACACAAAACACAGCTGCCCAGGCTATCTCCAGCATGGGCTGTTTAGACTTTTTCGTCAGAGACCAGCAACTGTAGATCCATTGGACAAGCTCACTATTAGTTTTTGAACAAAATTGAGATGAATAGTAATCTCAAAAATTTAAGAGGAAGGATTTCACTGTGATTGTGTCTCAACAAGGGAGTGATTTAAAACCAATAAAATTTGTCTTTGGCTCAGCAAGAAATTGATGTTTTTTCCTGAAGATGCAGAGCACAAAAGCTGGCATGCATGAAATGAAGGGCTGCTAAAATTAGATGCACTCTTGTGGTTTGGGTAGGCTCCTGGTTATTCCCAGATACCCAAAAGTAGGTCATTCAAAGCTTAACAAAGACATTTTCCTCAGATTTGACATTTTCGAGCCAGTTGAAAAGACCACCTGATGGGAGAATGTTATCGACACATCACACTGGGGTTTCACTCTGCCTTGGCAGTGTTTCTGAGAGAGCTGCAGTGCTACACCACCAGCCTTTTGTCACTTCACTGGAGCTGCTTTAGCAGCTTGTTCTTATCAGCTGTTAGAACTAACAAGGAAATCAAATACCAATGAATTTTCATTAAAGGGAATGAAAGTAAGAGCTGATTAACAGAGCATGGGGGTTTAACAGCTTTACAAAGCAACTCCCTGCACAAATGATGGGGGAGTATTAAAGTACTAGTTTATGAGAACCATATGAGTAACTGGTTGCTCATTAGCTGATCATGGCCATGATCTGAGATAAGAGATTTTTACTGACACCCTGAAAGGGTTTCTGTACCTTTGCCCCAATTCCTGGGTACCATAATAGCTAAACAATGACTATGATTTTCATCTAACCAGTACCCTACTTATATTAATGCAGTAGGAAGTAGATAGGAATATTCTGGTGATACAGAACACAAGTAAAATAGGATACTGCAGAAAGCAAAACGGATTTCTTATGAAAATCCAAATGGCCACAAGCTGGATGCCAGTGGACAGTAGAAGGATGCAGTTCTATAAAGAGCTCCTGACAGGGCAAATTCCTTAAATATGTGAAGGGAAGCTGCTTTTCAAAAGCATTTTATTCCAGCATCTCCAATGCAAAGGCAGGAGAGCTGTACTTTTTATCCTTGTGCTGGTCTGTCATTTACTTGGGCAGTGGGGGAAAGTAGTGTCACACTGCCCCTGCTTTCCCTCAAAGCCCTCCATAGCCAGTTTACAAGTTAGAAGGCAGAAATGAAAGGTCATCAATGCTCCAGCACATGCTGGAGATTGAGACAGTTTCAAAATGTGGGAACAACCACTTGGAAGGTTCTGACAAAGAGGGGAATGCTTTTATGGATAGCTAAATTAGTCAGTACAGGAGCACTGGTAGGAAACCCCAAACACAGGAGAGAAAACAATAGCAAACTTAGTGACTAATTGAACCAGTAGAAGGAGAAGGGTTTGTGGCAGTTCCTATAGGTGCATGTGTGGAGAGGGTCTGTAACGGAAAAAAAAATAATAGTCTGAGCCACGCTGCCTGGAATGTTCAAGTCCCATTTGCAAGCCAAGGACTGGCAAATTCCCATTTTCATGACCTGTCAGCTCCAAAAGCAATGTCATAATTACTGCAGCTCTTTAAAGACCCCTGTTATAAAACTGTAGCCAATCTAAATATTTACTGAAGTAGTCACACCTTGGTACGTGACCATGCAATATAAGATCAGCAAACACAAAAGGTGGATTTATAGTGACCATAAAATTTCAGTCCCAGTTTCCTGACTTCCAGAGACTTTTTGGCCAACCTTCACATTGCACTTTCCCCATCATTCATGACAACAGTACTGCACTCCTGACACCCTTGAACATTTGCACCTGATTTTTTTTTTCATGAATCGTTCTTGTACTCGCTGGGTTCTGACAGGGCTTTCTCTGCTCAAACGTCTCATGCTGTATGTGATGCTCAATAGCACACACCATGACTTCTAAATCCCAATGTTCTTTGTTATGTTATTAAATACTCTCTAATAATTTACGTCTCTTCTCTCAATTTCCCATCCTTTGCACTGGATATAGACTGTGGGATTAGACACAGTGTTTTAGAAAGTTTATAAAGTTTTCAGCAATATTGCATCACTACTTCTCCTGTAGTACTTTCCAGCCTTTTTCCTAGAGCATAGAGCTCATGTGAACTGATCATTCACTGTGATGCCACATAAGTTTAGTGTGGTCTGATCTATGTCATTACCCTGTCCATGTGATTGCCATCATTTCTCCTTGATTAATTGCTTTGCATGTCACAGTATGAAATGATATTTTGTTTGAACACACCCAGACTACCAATTTTTCTGTGTGCAACTTTCCTCTTCATTGTTTGCCATACATGTTCAAACAGTGACCATTATCACTGGGCTTCTGTTGTAATAATCTCTTACTGGTTTGGTGGAACTGCCCATTGCAAAAAATGCTGGTCTAAATAACTCCACCTTTGCAAAATCAGTGTGACAATGAAGTTTACTCGCCTTGGTTTTTTCTTCCCTATTGTGAAAAAATAGGAAGAAATGTGTTTTGGGTTGTTTTGGTTTGTTTTTGGTTTTTTAAAGTTCTTTAATGGGGCATGTTCTTGGTCACACTTCTCCATGGAGCATTTCTGCTTTCAAATTCATTGATGGCCACCATGAACTCTGCAAGAACATCCTGAGAACAGATATCCAAGATCCTCTACTCCCTATTGATGGAAAGGCTGAATATTTAGATCTTCAGCTTCTTGCTCTCTAAACTATGCTTTCCTGGCAGAACACAATAATCCAATTTACACAGGAATTGGGCATTGCTCTGCCCTCAACTAGAAGCCTGGTATTAAATAGAGCTCCAAAGAAGTGGGAATTAGGTAAGCAAAACCCCAAAAAACAGGCCAGGTCACTCATTCTGTAAATGTGTATTGTGCTGTAAACACCCTCATCTCCCAGTTTGTGTGATTTCAGCATGTCCAGTTAGGTGGGCTGTTTAGTGAATTTAGGATAACCACAAAGAAAGGATGACTTCTTCCTCAAAGGGTAACTTCCTCGAGGCTCCTTAGTGCCAGAGCACTATGCCAATGCCTCCTCGAGAAAGGGGTGCACTGAATGCAGAGAACATGATGGTTTTACACAGAGATCTGAGATTCTGAATTTCCGAGTTACTCCCCATTACTTTAATTTTCAAAGATGCTTTAAGGTATTTTTACATTATAGTAACTAAAAAGCACATGGAGAAAGCCTTAGCACATGGAGAAAGAACACTTCTGCCGTGTCACATATGGAGAAAGAAAAACAGGAAATTCACAGTCCCAAAGCACTTTTCCACTGATTTAATTTTTCTTCCTTCAGGGCACCGATCCTTCCAGGTTTTCACTTCCTTGTGATAGGTATCACCCCATTAGTAAGAGAATGACTGCTCCACCCCGTTCCAGTCAGTGTTGGCCACTTTCGATCATCACAGCTTGTTTTCCAGTTTTATCTCTGGAGGAACCAAACCTTCGTGAGAAAGCTGCTGAAGCTGCAACTCCTGGGAGTGGCAATGAATAGTATTCACAGGACTCATGCCTTTCATATTTAGATACTGAGATAAACAATCTTATCTTCCTTCCATTGCTTCTTACTTAGCCTTTGACTGCTCTTCTCTTAGGCTTTTAGAAAAGACTCAAGTGCAACTGATCAGTAGCAAACACAATGAAGAGCAGACAGCTGGGAAGAGAAACAGATGTTGAAACTAAATGATTCTCGTCATGAAGATTTTGTTAGTTCCTCTTTTGGACTTCACAGCTCCACTGAAACAATATTTTGGTAAAACTCTTATAAGCAGACATCCATTACCCCATTTCCAGAGCATGTTCTCCATAAGGAGCCCAGCAAATGCTGCTGTCACAAGGAACAGCAGCAAATCAACAACTCTTGGTAAGGTCAGACCACAGCTTCCTCAGAGGCAGTACTGGCTCATCTTACAGGAATTGCTTGGAGTGAATAGTTTAGTTAACACAGTTGGTATGCACTTAAGAAAAGGCTTTCTTTCACTAACTCCATTAAAATGTAGGAACATAGACCTAAATGTCCTGACAGTTCTCACCTGGGATATGTAGCTCGCAGACTTTTTAGATGCCATTTTGCTGGAGATTTTTTTACACAAATTATGATTATTTTTCTGTATCTTCCACTACATCTTCAGCTTCACAGTCACAAATCCATTTACTTTAATTAAAATCTCTCCTGTGTTAAGACAATCATGAGCAGCAAATTAAAATATTCCAGTAGAAGATGAAATGCACTGGGAATTTGATTGTTCTCTAATGCCACAGTTGCAGGTTAAAAAATGACACCTAGCGAGGAGGAGATATTCCTTCAGCTTCGCCCCAGAAGAGGTGCCAGAAATCACCACAGATATTCTCGGTGTCCCACCCCTGGCAGCAGCCAGCACAAGGCAGTCACCAGCAACAGGTAATGACAGTTTGAGGATACATTTCCTGTAAACTTTACCAGGAAGCAGTTTGTTGCATGGAGGTGACTTTAGAGGAAGGGAGAACACAGGCTCCACCAACACTGACGTGTTTGGCAATACTGGAAGGCACATCCTGGCCACAAGGCCATCTCCCCCTGCAAAACTTAGGAGACTGCCTCCAAGACAGATATCAAAGCATCTAAAAATGAAGCCATTGTAAGGATTTTTAACATATGAGAAAAAAATTTGCATTTTACTAGCCTTGTGCTCAGGAAAGGCTCAACTGCTGTGACTAAAATAAAACTCAACCTAAGATACACAACAGCCTGCTGGCCCATGTGGTTACAACCAAGAAAAAGGTGTTTACTGTAGCCTGTCCTAAAGCAATACTTGCTCTGCTTGTAGGTATGTTACTGTAGCCTGAGTGAGAATTACCACTTGCTACTGAACTTCACCCAATTTATTCCAATTTAAATTTTCCTCTGGAATGTAGTAAGTTGACCTACTTCAAATGGAACAACTTTATTCATAGAAACATTATCAAAACAGCAGGTCGAAAGAACGAAACCCAAGATTTCACAGGTGAGTTGCTAATTCACATGGGTTACCCATCTTACAGTTTATGGATCATTATAATTAGTTTTATGGATCATTATAATTAGTTAAGTTGCAGACTGGAACTGTGGTAAGTCAATGTGATGGCCAATTTACCACTGCTGACAATTGACAATATGTAATCCAGTTTAAAGATGTAATTGTTAATTTTCATAACATTGTGTGGGCATGATCTGCTCAAGTACAGAGAAGAAAACCCACTTTATCCTCTAAAAAGCCTGCACAACTGAGAAGCCCTTAATTAGAATAGGCCCTTAAACTTCTGCAATGAATGACCAGACACTACTAAAACAGGAGTTGCTTTCTACTGCATAGCACAGGGCCTTGCTAGAGCTATTGGACTGCCAATGGGTTACTTCAGCTGTAAAAATGGAGACAATTAAGTACACCAAAATTAATCACTAGAACTTGATTAGGAAAGAATGTCATGAAATGGTGACTCCTTTGAAATCTGAGGGTCTCAAGTACCCCATGAGAGAAAATAAAGAGCTGAACTTCAGTTTAAAGAAAGGCAATTTAAATAAAATTCAAATAGCACGCAAAAACTTGACTGTTATTCCTCTGGCGCTGCCATCCTGGAATATACCTAAAGCTCAAAAAACCAGGCACAAACAGGTGGGGTGGGTCTATGTACAAAGACAGAGGGAGAAGAGGAGTGAAAAGAAGTTTAGAAAAATCCTACAAATACTCAAGTATTTTTCTTTCCCCAACTCCCTTTTCCCAGATCTTATAAAGACCTTCACAGACAAATAATTTCCAGGATCAAGCTATGGTTCTGTGATCTGTGGTTGCCTCTATTTTAAATTTGTGCATATTTGCCAGTGCTTCCCAATAAGGCAGAAGATTCTGCAGTTTATCTGAGAACCCCCATTAAACTGAAGTTTATATGAAAGTCTGTTAAGGTTAGAGAGTTCACAAGTGATCTGTTCTTGCAAAAAATCTTGCACACCACTTTAGATATTTCCATATGAAGTATCCATTCTAAAAACGGGATGAACCTGTGGAATTGCCCAAGCAGGAAAATCTAAACTGCTCCCCTGGTATGTACTCTGTAAGTGGTGAGAGACCTATTTATTACATTGGCCTCATAACACATTTTACCTTTCTGCCATCTCATATTCACACTCTTAAAATACTAAATAGACATGAACATATTTCTTGGAACTTGAGAATAATTAATTACTCAACACATTAAATAAGCTGTGCAAAGACAGCTAACTACTCCAAACCACAAGGTAACTGGCCTGGCCTTGAAAAGCACTATTGATAGGCACCATGAGATGGCCAACACTGCAAAGCAAAGCAGTAGCTTTTGGCATTAACACTGCACACAAAATCTAACTCTACATTGAAATATACAGTTTATTTTCTCAAAGTCAAGCAATACCATTTGTCAGTAGGTACATGTTAAGTGTCAGGCAGGAAAACTGTACATTTTCACTCTGGGCTGTAGGATCCAAACAGTTGGAGAAGCACTGTGGAAATCTTTCACTATACAAAGAGATCTAGAATTGAGAACAACAAAGGATGAAGAAACAGCCATCCCCAGGATGCCAAAGGCAAAACATTAGCACCAGATTTTTTTCAAAAAGCAACAGTACAGCTATTTACAGATTTACATATAACATTGGGAGGCCACCATCTTCACGTTTCCAGGGTGAGTGATTTTCAACAGTTCTGAAAAAGGAAAGGAGATAATAGTGTCTACACAACTGTTCTGTGAAAAGGATAACAGATATAGCTTTCACAATATTGCTACCTTTATCAGAGATCTAAATCAAAGTACTGTATACAAACACATTGCAATTATATTATTCTTCACATTTCACATACACATTTCAGAATAACCACAATATGTAAAATTTTTAAAATGCCACAGATAAAACAATGCACACTTTTCTCCAAGCTAAAAGACAAGCATAACTTTTTTAGTTTTGAGTTTGTTATGGTTAAGGGATAGGTTTAAGGACAAAGGGACCAGTTGTCCTAGGAACATAGCAGCAAATAACTGTTGAGATGCCAGAAGACTACATTTCTGAACTAGGAGGAAGAAACTAAGGTCAGCTGTAGGTCTTGTAAAATGGTAGCTCCATTTGACCTCAACTGATGCACATAATTTCAATTAAAATTTGGTCCAGGTATACAAAGTAGTGCACAATAAGGGTGTTTGCAGGGGCAACTGTCCTTTTAATGTTTGCACCTATCTGTAAAGGAACTGGTTCCAGAGGATTTTTTGCTCCCCAGTTCCCTAACTCACAAGGAATTCACTGATCAGCACCTTTCCAGTTCTCTCCCCACAAAAGAGAGGATTCAGGTAACAAGGACAGAAAAACTCTTGTGAATGCTGCCATACTGCAGGAGTAGTGGGAAGAATTCTTTGCTCTCTTTTCAACAACTGACTGTTTGTATTTTCAGTCTGCTTTGCTACACACAGGCATTCACATCAGCCTTGGAAATGGCTTCTGGTTGGGGAACTATTTGTCTGAGGAAAGAGAAATCTTTTCCTTACTACAATGAAAATGGCATACACACAAAGCCTTCCAAGATTTTTTTTGCCTGCAAACTTTATCTTAACATAGAACTTGACACTTAAGACACTACAGAATTTCACTGTAGGTATCTAAGCAAGTCAGCATAACCCATTACTGTGCTGCAAACATGAGTTAGCACCTCTTTTTAGAGCTACTGGAAATGATCTCAGTCAATGGCAGTATTAGGAGAACACAAGCAGTGATCTGATACTGTGAACTAACATCCTCTCCTTTACCACTGTTCAATGAAAAAAATCAAGCAAACAGCCCCACTTATGTTCACAGTTACAATGCAGAGTTACTCCAAGTAATGCACAGTATTTAAATGGCAGAATTGTTTCTATTGCATTTGGTAGTCTGAGAAAGAGGAACAAACAGCATAATGTAGGTCAACTTCAGTATAACTTAATTGTCTATACAAGACCATCACAAAGTTAAGCAACCAGCAGAAAAATACAAGCAGTGTCCTTAACCTACATTTATTTCCATGAAGTATAGTGGGTTTGGGACAAGAAGAATAAAAACATGCACAAAAAAGAAAACGAGCCTTCTAAATAATTTAGATGAAAAATGTTTTGAATAAAATCAGCACAGTACTTCCAGCCCGTTTCTTAAATCAAGTAAAACTTGGTAAAGAAAATCACTTGCATTGCATTAAGAGGATGTACAAATATGTCTTGCAAAATAATTTTTAAAAAAGTCTTCAGCAAGGTAGGCATTAGGTGATTTGCAAGCTGCTTAAGAAGCATTTAACTAGACTGATTTTAAAGTTGTTTTCTGCAAGGGGAAAGTGCCATCCTATATACAATATTACAAAAAAGTGTCTGATGCCACAGGATCAGAGTGACACTGCATTTCAGAAATCTTTATATATTAGCTATAAGATGCATGCTTCCCCTATTTAATGTGTCTTTAAAAAAAAAACATAAAAACCCACTAAATTTAGAGCTTCTAAATGTGTGTGCATTCATGAATTGCTGTAGGGTTTCCCAGCAGACTGTGCAGCATCTGAACAAAAAGGAAGTATACAACCTATTCTAAAAACCACTGTTTGCATGCACAACTGCCACAGACTTTGAACATACTGAGCAGAAGGGTTAAGAGTCTCTCCTCTTTTGTGGAGCTTTCTGGAAATTAAGCAATGAGGAACAGCTGTAGAGTCCAGCAATAAAAATGTGTTCTAAAAAAATTAAATACATCATTAAAAAAAAAAGAAGCATTATTGCTGTTGTGAGAGCTATTTTTCTCTTGTGCACTTGTTTCTCTACCAGACACTCAGGCAAGCCAAGATACTCATTTGTACACTTGAAACTCCCCTATTCCTTCCTTCTTTCCCATTTTTCCCATCGTTGGTTGGACTCAGTGTCCTTATTTGAGCCGCTCAGGTTGGAGGCTGTCAGTCAGACACTTCAGCTGCTCCTCCCCTAGCTTGATCTTGTCCTCAAGTTCCCGCTGCTCAATGATGAGGGCCGACTTCATTTTCACAAAGTGCTCATAGTCTGCTAAGTTCTCCTCACTCAAGTAGTTCGCCAAAATGTCGAAGACAATGCGCTCTCTACGATCCAGGTTTTCCTTCAATTCCTTTGCATCCTCATGTTGCTGGGTCAGCAGCTTTTGCTTATCTACCAATGTCCGCTTGGGAGAAAAGAAAAACAGTTAAAAACGGAGTTCACTAGGTTGGGACAACAGCTTCACTGTTCAAATCTCAAGTCTGTTTTATCTACAGAGACCTTCCTGAATATTTAGAAAGGAGGAAAAAGAATGCTCCTTAAAATTCAGACTAATAAAATGCATTAACAAACTGATAAAAGATGTAAGAAATCAATGAAAGATGCACCATTACTTTATATTGGCCTCAAAACCATTACTTCAAAGACACCTTTACTATTTAATAGTTATAAATAGCTGTATACAATATTGCTTGCCTTTGAAGAATAGTTCTTCAAATTAAAATTCAGCGGTATCTTCCATACACTGCACTGGCACAGCTGTGGTTACAGAACCCAGAAACAGACCAATTAATGGAGCAATTTGTTCTTATACAGCTCCTAACTTTGTATTTAGCTATTCTGCTGCATCTACAAGCCTTCCCAGTGACATATGAAGTCCTGTGGTCTTCAGACATCAGCAAGAGTGAAAGCTGAGGCAAGACAACGGAAGGGCAAAAGGGAAGCAAAACCAAAAAAGCATTATTCTCCAAAAAGGCTGTAAAGTTTCTGCTTTGTGCCTTCACAAGAGACAAAATAAGAAAATGGGAGGTTAAATGGAGGAACACACAGAGGACAGCAGAAGACAGCAGCTATATCCCTCTCCCCCAGCATCACCTGTCTGCACAGCCAACAGTCCCACCTGAATCACCTGGCTACACTCCTTTGGCAGAACACGGAAACAGCAGCATCATCAACCCAACCTATTTCAGATGTCTGCCTGCAAGTGAGTGCCTTCTTCCAGTGACAGAGTATGGCTGGCTTACTCTGACATCAAGAATTCTGTGCAGATGTCTGAACTTAATTAAAAAGTGTCCCTAAGAGGTACCAATCCATAACTTCTAGCTTTGCTTCCAAGATGAATTTTCTTTGAGAAGCTGTCTTCAAATAAACCTCAGTCTGTCCTAATAAATGTGTCCATCTTTTTAATTTGCACCTTATGTTAAATCACACATGCTGTTTAATAAGCCTGAAGGATTTACAGAGAAGTGTTTTTGTAGGATATAAAAGTCTTTTCAAGATGGAAGTATGAGACAAAGGGGGCTAGAGACCAGTGAGCTTTAATAAGCCTACCTGTCAGTTGCACATGCATCCTGTGCTGACTCTTTCTATAGACAGACCAAAGCTCAAGAGTGAAATGTTTTCAGATTTGTGCTCTCAATGTACTTAAAATACACAGCCTAGATTAACTCAGGATTCAAGACAGCTATGGAAGACTAGTCAGAAAAATCACACACTATTACAAAAAACAGTTTAATCTTCCCTTGAGCTTATGCCAGGGGAAAAAAAAAATCTCACTGCAAGTTGCAAGCAGAATTATCTGCTGCAAAGAGACACAACTAACAGTTCTCCTGAACTCACCAGGGCAAGCAGCAGACAGCCTCAAACTCAGGAGTGTGGCTAGACTGCTCCCAGAGCAGCCTTGCAGGTGAGTGCATGCTGAGCAGCAGTAACTAGCTAGAATTGGATGAACGCAAGAGGACATGAACACAAAGCACTGGCCTTGCTGTGTAAGAGGAAGGGGGCTTGCAGCTCTCCAGATGAAGCCCCCTTCAGAAGCTGAACTTGAAATACCCGATACTCTTCCCTGTGGCAATAAAACACCTATACCAGAGCATCTGACAGTCAAAGTATTAACTCAGCAGTCATCATTTGACTGCTTGGTAAGCTGTTGCTGGCTCCTAGAAAATGGAAAGCTATCAAAGCAATGTTTATTAGACAACATCATCTTGGGAAGAAAAACCAGTGGTCACTGGGAATGTGCTGCCCAACAATGGAAGTAAAATCTCCTGTTTTGTTCATATGGTACATTAGTGGTTCACCACATATTATCATTTGACCTACAAAATACTAAAGGACAAACAAAAAAGCCACAAGCACCAGTCTGAATTCAACACTTCTAGATATATTTCATAGAATCATAGAATGGTTTGGATTGGAAGGCACCTTAAAGGTCAAATAGTTCCAACCCCTGCGCTTAC